TCTATGGATTATTGAAGGCGTTTTTTACAAAAGCCACCTTTAATAATCCTAACTAAAAATTTATTAATTAGATTATAGAAGGCGAATTCGGCCAAAAACGCCTTCAAGAATCGGTTCCATATTTTTTCTATGGATTATTAAGGGCATTTCTTTGTAAAAAATACCTTCAATATTCTCTCAAAAAATTTTTAAAGCAATTGGTGAAGGCGTTTTTGCCAAGAAAATACCTAGAATAATCAATTACAAATAATCTCCGCAAAAACCAAAAACGGCTAAAGGGAGGGATCGAACCTACAACTTTATGGTTAACATCTGTACAATCCTAAAATTTTGATATGATATTTATTGAAGGCATTTTTGACCAAAAATGCCTTCAATAAGCCATGAAATTTTTTGGTGGAATTATTAAAGGCGTTTCTTATAGAAAACGCCTTCAATAATCGCATACATTTTTTTATGAGGGGATTATTAAAGGCATTGTCTGCCAAAAATGCCTTCAGTAAATCCCTATCAATTTTTTAACAAGATTATTTAAGCCATTTTCTGCCAAAAATGCCTTTAGTATTCACTCAAATTTTTAAATAGGATTATTCAAGGCATCTTAGTCGAGAAACACCACTAATATTAAGTTTTAGGTGGCATTTATAAGAACAATGCCATTATTTGAATATTTAGTGGCGTTTTGATAATAAACGCCTTAAGTTTTATAAAAACACAAAAGCTAGCAGCATTTATAAGTGAAACGCCGCTACAAAACTACCACTAATCTTCTATTTTCTAGTAGTGCTTACATGGTAGAGAGCCTCTAATTGCAAGAGCGTACATATTTAAGCATTAGACAAACAAGTCAAGTAACATGTAAAAATTATGAAATTACAAGAGCATGTAAGTTAAAGTGCCAAACATATAGATTGCATTTAAAGTAAATAATTCAAAGATTAAAGTGCAAATTAAGTAAATTAAAAGTAACTAAAGAACTTGAACATTTAAAGATATAGACTTAACAAGAAAATAAGGTAATTTAACAAGCACATTAACAAGGGCAACAAGCTTAATCAATCGAAATTAAATGTTGAATACAAATACTAAATGGTAGTAAGCATAATCAGGAAAATAAATCAAACAAAATTTCAAAATAATTTATTCAAGTGACAAGGTGCCATCTGGGTGATACTTCTACCTAATAGAAACTTTGCATCATCTTTATCAAGTGCCAACAGCTGTAAAAAAGAAGAAATATGAAGGAAAAACATATTACAAGTCAGAGCTGGAAAATAATAAAACTGAATGGAAAAGATTAAATTTGCATGAAGAAAACAAAGTTTTTAATCTTGCAAAAATTAAATGGACATGTAGCTATAAAGTAAGGGACCTAAGGATTGAAAATACTACTAAAATCTTAAAGGAAAACAAGAAGAAAATCATTAAAAATAAAAACTATACAACAACAAAAAGTACAAGCAAAAAATGATAAATAAAAACAAGAACTTTGTATTAGAAACTAAAAAAATTAATTGTCTTTCAAATTGTTATGAAGTTTAACTATAAGAAAAGTAAATGAAGAAGCTAAGAGACTATCAAAAACTAGAGAACACTTAAGGAAGCAACCTCAAAATTGAATAGCCATGGGGTTGCCAGTCTTGAGGCACTAAAGAGAGGAAAAAATAAAAATCTGCAAGACGACTAGGGCTTCTTTTTTCAATAGCTGAAAATGTCTCTTTTATTATCCTCTCCTAGGTCTTTCGAAGTCAATCAAATGGCTTTAAAATGCCATGTCAGCTGCTGATGTAGCAGCAAGCTCTTGGCTTCTTAATTCAGCGTCATTTTTAGGTTTAGCCATTAGAGGTAGTAACTACTATGTTGTCTAAGCTTTGCATTTTTTTCCAGCTCATAAAGGTGGCCAATGAGCTTGTATCATGAAGTCAACTAGAAGACATGTCCAGGGAATCAAATAGTGGAATAACAGCCATAAAATTACAGTAATGCCACCACCTGCCATCGTTATTGGAGGAAATGCGATTGAAAAATTCATTCACAACTAAAATAGTGTGTAACGGCTAAAAAAAATGGCATAACAAGAAATAGCAATAATAACGAACCGTTGTGGCTACTATTCTCATTTTTCTACTCACAGATCACCAGTTCATGTTATAAGAAAAAAAACTTTTCAACACTGTTAGAATAAAGCAATAAGCTTACAAAAGTAAAAGTAAAAGCAAAAGCAAAAAAAAAAAAAACTCAAAACCTCAGGTCTTCAGTATCAAAATCAATCTAAAAACAAGTTAAAAAATAGGCAAATTATTTATCAACCATTTAATTGGCACTTTGGCAGCAACCCTAGCTCAATCCATAAATTATCTAAATTCAAATCAGCCTCAAGTTTTCAATCAACAATCAAGATCAAAGAAGGTAAGAAAAGAAGTTAAATTACCTTTTTTTTTGCAAAATTTTTGTAAAATGATGTCTATCTTTAGGAGAGTTTGAAAGAGATAAATGAGGTACTCTATAGGCACTAGGCAAGTGATAGTGATGAGGGGATATGAGAGAGAGTGAGAGATGAAAAAAAAGAGAGAGAAAAAAAAATTCTCAAGGGCCAGATTCCAGAAGCATGAAGAAGAAGAACAGAAAAAAGTGAGCTGGGTGCTTGGGTCTGTTAGGGTTAGGCAAAATTAGGGGACAGTTGGGGCACGTCGGTGGAGTGGGATGGGTGGGGTGGGATTGGGTAAGATGGGGTTGGATGGAGTAGGGGGTGGGGGTGGATGAATTTTTTGTTTAATTTTGTAATTAGTTTTTGAAATTTTTTTTAGATAAAATTTAATTAGAGGTATTGAGAATTTATAATTAAAAAAATAAAGGGATTAATAATTTAATATAATATATATAAAGATTTTAGATAAAAAATTTTGATAAATTTTTTTGTATAAATTAGATGAAAAATAATTAAAATTAAATATTATATTTTAAGTTTGTTATATATTAATTTATGATTTTGTATTTGAAATTTAATAATTTTTTTGTTGTTTTGGTATTTATATTGTTGTCAATTTTTTTTATATTAGATTAATTCTTATTATTTTTATGTAATTATTGAAGATTCTATTTATTATATAATTACTGAAAGTAATTTGTGATAAAAAAATTTATATCAATCAGTGTATCCAAAAGATTAAGTTATTTAATATATTTAGTATTTTATGATCTATTACTCTTATTAAGATTAAAAACTAAAAATTAAAAAATATAAGTTTGAAAATTTTTAATTTTTGAAATTTTTTTAGATAAAATCTAATTAGAGGGATTAAAGTTTTATAATTAAAAAAATTAAGGGATTAATAATTTAATATGATATATATAGAGATTTTAGATGAAAATTTTTGATAAATTTTTTTGTATAAGTTAGATGAAAAATAATTAAAATTAAATATTATATTTTGATTGTGTTATATATTAATTTATAATATTGTATCTAAAATTTAATAATTTTTTTTGTTGTTTTGGTATTTATATTGTTGTCAATTCTTTTGATATTAGATTAATTTTTATTATTTTTGTGTAATTATTGAAGATTGTATTTATTATACAATTATTGAAAGTTATTTGTGATAAAAAAAATTATATTAATTAGTGTATCAAAAAGATTATGTTACTTAATAAATTTATCGTGTTATGATCTATTATTCTTAAGATTAAAAACTAAAAATTAAAAAATTTAGCATAAATTCAATTTTTAATGATGCAATAAGTAACATTAATATTTTATAAATATAAGTTTATTTTGTTTTTATACAAAATAGCAAGTATGCCACGATGTGAAAAGTTTCCGAGTAAAGGAGTAGAGGGTGCGCTAAGTGATGATATAGGTTGGCAATTTGAAACACCTATGCCAAATACAAAAAGAAATGTTTCATGTAAACTTTATGGTAAAGTTGTAAAAGGAGAAATAACATGTTTCAAGGAACACATTGCTCATAAAACTGGCAATGTTACATCATGCCCCAACGTTACCGGTATGTTATGTTTTTATAATTTTTTTGAAAATGTTATTGTTAATTTCTTAATAAAAATTATAAACTTACATAAGCATGTGCAACTAATTTTCTCCCTTTTTTTAACTATTTTATTCATAGGTATAGTAAGAGAAAGTATGATGAAACTCCTCTAAGAAAGCAAATAAAAAAAAGCTAACAACAAAAGAAAAAAAATGAATTTTTATCACAGGTAAGAGGAGAAGATGATTATGAAGGATTTATTGATGAAGACATCGTTGCTAAACAAGTTATGCGAGATAGTATCCAATCACAACATAAGTGGCACAGAAGACAAGAGTTCAAACAAAGAACTAGTGGTTAGAGTAACATATAAAAGGAGGGACGAAGCTTTCATGGCTTAATTGCTAAATATTTTGAAGAAAGAACAAGGAAATCAACTCTAAATGAGTCTGAATTTTCATTAAAGGGAGCTATACATGAATTGGTTAAAAGTAAAAGTTCAAGGCAACAAAAGTAAATGATTCATTTTTAAAGGTATTAAGAAGAAAGATGGGTGAATTAGTATCAAAATTTTTTATATATGATCGACTTCATTTCAGTTAGCAAATTCTCTATGGTTGCATAATTTGATTTCTATGGCAGCAGAAGTTGGCCAACATGTAAAACATCCAACACCTTATGAGGTCTTAGATGTGTATTTAGAGTCTGAGTATCAAAAAGTTCATGAACGGGTTAATAGATTAAAAAACTCATTGGAATGAAATGGGTGTCACTTTGATGTGTGATGGTTGGACAAACAGCTTGAATCAAATGCATATAATTAATTTCCTTGTTTACTATAGTAAAAGGACCATTTTTTTGAAATCTATAAATGTCTCAAGTGTTTGTAGTAGAGATGCAAACTTTTACTACAAATTATTGGATGAAGCTGTGAAAGAAATTAGAAAAAAATACATTATTCAAATAGTCACTAATAATAAGGCAGCACTTAAGGCTATAGGAAAAAGACTAATGGAGAAGAGAAAACATTTGTATTGGATAGCATGTTTAGCTCATTGTTTTGACTTGTGCCTTGAAGATATTGGTAAGAAAAAAATTGTGGTAAAGGTTTTGGATGATGCAAAAAAAGTGACTTGTTTTATATACAATCACATTTGTACTGTTAATTTGATGAAGAAATATATACAAGGGAAGTAAATACTTCATCCTACTCTTACCCGATTTATCACTCATTTCATACAGTTAGAAGAAATAACGAGGCAAAAGCAAGGTTTGAAAGATGTTCAATTCAAAGGTTAGCACTTAGTAATTAATACAACTATTTAAATCTAGCATCTTTTTATGATATCATTATTTAAAATATTAATTTAAAACATATTACTCTAAAAATTTATTGATGAATATATAGGAATTTAAAGAATCAAAATGGGGACAACAAAAATCAAGACCTGTTTATGAAGCCAAGAAAATTATTTTAGAAAAAGTTTTTTAGAAAAAAACAAGCAATATAACAAAAGTTTATAAGCCTTTGGTAAAAATGTTGCGCCTTACAGATGGTGAAGAAAAACTAGCAATGGGTTTTATTTACGAGGCTGTGGATAAAGCTCAATAAGCAATTCAACAAAATTGTCGTTATTCTGTTAAATATGAAAAGATTATTAATAACAGATAGAGTTTCATACACTCTGACTTGCATTCAGCTAGTAAGTAAACCAAGAATATAGATGGCATTTAAAAAATATGTTTATTTTTTATACTTAAATTGCTTATATATTTATTTTTTATTACTTTAATATAATATTGTTATGAATTATGTTTAGGTTACTATCTAAATCCACAATTTCAATTTGGAGTGGAACATTCGGCAAATGTATTTAAAGAAACATTAGAAGGTATAAACGCAGTTATTGAAAGATTAAAACTTTTGATAGATACTCAAATCAGAATGATTAATCAAGTTAATATTTAATACTATTTTATAACTTTAACATTTATTTTATGTATTAAAAATTGCATTATTTTTTATTTATTCATTTATTATTGTATTTTCAATCGACGCAGTTGTTATTATTTCGAGACAAGCATGAAACATTTGGTACTCCACAAGTACAAAGAGCTTGGAAGCAAATGAATCCCAGTAAATTAAATAATTATAATTTATTTATATTATTTAATTGTATAGCATATTTAAATTTAATTTAAATAATTTTATACAGTTGAATGGTGGATGATATATGACACTTGTGTTCTTGAATTACAAAAACTAGTAATCAAAGTGCTTAGTGAAACAACATTTGCATCAAATTATGAATGTAATTGGAGCAAATTTAGCTATATTCACACCAAAGCAAGAAACGGATTGAAGTTTTAAAGACTTCAAAAACTTGTATATACTTATTACAACATGAGGCTGAGGATGAGACATTAGAAAAGAATGAGCATTTATGAGATAAATAATAGTTTTAATCCTATTAGCCTTGACCATATTTTTTAAGATGATGATCCACTAACAGAATGGTTGCAAGAGAAAGAAAATCCTCTATTAGATGGTCAAAACTCTGATTGGCTGCTGTAGATAATTCTGATAATAAAATGAATGTTGAACAATCATGCCAATCTCAAGAAAGGAATGAGTCTCATTCAAGTTTAAGTCCAACACTGAGTTAGAGTGATAATGGTAGGGGTTTAAGTCTAGATGATGATGATGTGATGGTGATAGTGCGAATTTTGGTGATAATATGGATGCAAATTGACCTTACTGTCCACTTAGAAGAAAATTTAGGCTTGTTGCTACTGTTGGACTTTTCATTAATATGACAGATAATTGAGTAAATCCATCTACTAAATCTAGTAAAGGTTAAAGTGTACATACAGCTCAATCAAAAGGAAAAGCCAAGAAGCACCACTATGACATTTCTAAAGGTTCTTCATCTTCAGGTGGAAGACCAAATTCTAGTCACTTTGAGTATAGTGAATCATCTGCTAGTACTCAAGGACATTATTATCGACCATAACAATCTAATTTTCAACCTTCTCATAGTTATCCACCTCTATATGGTTATTATCCACCTCAAATGTATCCTCTACCTCTACCCCAAATGTATCATTTACCACAAATGTATCATCTTCAAATATATCCTCCACCTCAAATGTATTAAGAACGAATGCCACAGGGATGTGGATGGAGTCAACTTGGCTATCAAAGTGAAGAAAGAGAATTTGATCCTCTTTGTCATTCTACCATGTGGTAAATTTTAAAATATATATCAATAATTGTAGTTGATGGAATTTGAAATTATTATATTTTTAAGTTTGTAATTTTATTAAATATAGATGCTTGGTATTTAACATATTATGTTTTCTTAATATTTGATTTGTCTAGAATTAATATTGAATATAAACTTGGCCAAGAAAAATTTTGTGGATAAACCAAATATGAATGCTTTATTATAATCTAAATAAAATTATGAATAATTTTTTTAGAAAATAAAAAACATAGGTGTCATAAACTATTTTTAAAATCATTAAATAAGGGTTTTTATAATTATAATTATTAAATTTTATAATAAATTATGCAAAAACAAATTCACAACTGTGATGACCATAATGACTGCAATAATAACCGCTATATAAATCCCTAGACATGTTAGCTACCAGAGTGGTAGCAACCAGCAACATTATTTTCAATTGTAACCAGTGAGGTAAATCAATGACAACAGGTTTTATAATGCAAAAAAATGTAACATTCTTTTAGCTCTCTAAATCCACCCAATGATAGTCTATGATGTAGCCACCTAAGCACCAAGTTAGCAACATATTCTTGTGCACCCAAATTGAAGAATTATGGCCTATAACTGAGGTAGGCAGGAACTACCAACTACTATTTCTTGTCTTCTTATGCTTTTGTCCCAATTTTTCTTTAAGCAGCTCATTTCTTCCTTTGTTCTTAAGGCTTTAGCTTGGCTCATGGTATTCTCTCTTCATGGCTTGGTGGCTAACTTGTTTTTTTACTCCTCATTCAGCTCACAATTTTGGCAACAAGCATCTCATGTCCTAAGCTCAAGCAACTCCACACAATGCACAAATTACTTCCAATCAATGGTTAAAGACATGTAGCAAGGAAAAGCAACTAGACCGAAAAAAAAATTGAATGCAGTTTAGGACATGTTAATCCTCTTTGGCACCTTATCTTTTTAATCTTGTAATTTCCAACACATGAGACAATTAAATACTATTATGTGGGTAATTAAATTAATTTGCTAGAAATCAAGCAAAATTTATCAAGTAATAAAATTAATCAAAAAGTCCTATAATAATTCTTAAAAAAATAGAATTATCACACCCCTAAACTGAAACTTTTGCTTCACGACAAGTAAAACAAAAAACATGCTAGAGCCAAGTTTAATTTCCTAAATATCACTTTACAATGATTTCCACAAAGATTGCATAGTGACTGTAGCCTAAAGAAAATCATAAACAATGGCTAACTCAAGACTTATTCAAGTGTAAGCTTCTACTAATTGAAGTTCCATTATGTGTGTAATCACTTGAAATTCGATTGTGATTGTGTAACCAAGAAATGATAGGCGATTTGCAAGCTCACAGAATCGTACAAGTAATATAGAGTAAGTAAAGTATCATTTTCATGAAAATTGTATATATTAAAGACTCAAGTACCAAAATTGTATCACCCTTTCTTATACTTGGATAAATCAATTAAAAGATATGAAACTAATCAAATAAACTCTAAAAAGATGTAATACTATAAATAAAATAGATCAAATAAACTAGAAATAACTAAAAACATATAAAACCAAAATCAATTAAGCAACTAAACATGTAATATAAATCGAAAGCATAAGAACCAAATGCTATATAGAACAAATAAGCTAAACCGATTATAACCCTAATCAAAACAACATGCAATTCATGCAAATTAACTCAAACAAAAACCCTAATATATTTTTAAATCATGTAAACAACTTAAATTAATTAAAGAACATGCAATTAAACTAAATTAAACTAGAACATAATTTAAATTAACCAATTTATACAACCCTAAAATATTGAAACCCTAAACTTTATAATATGAAATCCTAATGAAACCCTTAGTAGGTTTGGCTAAAATGGGACTTCAAGAAGACTTCATAGTTTCGATTAGACTTGGTTTCTTCAATTAAGACTATTAAAAGAAAGCTTCTAGATCTTTACTATACCATACTTATCATGTAGCAACTCTTCCATACCATATATTTACTTACCAAAAATAGAATCTTGCTAAATTAACAAAGTAATTTTCGGCCTTACTAAATTTAGCTTCCATAAAGTTGCTTCAAATCCTTCCATCTTAACCTTCATCCTCTCTTTTGTGCCTTGACTTTATTTCTAAAAGAAAAATAAGAAATTAACTTCATCCAAAATGCTTCCTAAATGCTCATACAAGTTGTATTTATAACCTATCCAAAATCATACTCTAAGTAGAATTAGGAATACTTCACCACTAAGAAAAGAAATCCAATTCCAAATAGGAAAAAAAATAGAATTACCACCTTAGCAAGCCACATCATCTTCCTTAACCATGAAGAAACTCTTAAATGCCATGTCATCCCATAGTAATCCCATGCATGTGCACTAACACAAGCTACCATGGACTTACAATCATGTGAAAGTACAATTCTACCATTATTCTTTGTTGAAATTCCAACTTGAGTTCTTGCATGAATTTTCATCTTCTTTCTTCAAGATTCATTATCTTCAACTCCATAAAACTTGTGAAAGCCAATCTTGAACTTTTTTCCCATTCTTGAATTTCAAGAATTTTCAAGACAATCAAGAACTTCCAAGAACATCTCAACTATCCATAATAGGATCAAGAATCATCCAAGAATCATCAAGAAATTTCAAAGATCTTCAAATTTACCAAAAATCATTCTTTTTTTCAAGAAAACCTATAAAACAAAAAATTCACCCATTTAGGATTAAAAAGAACTTTGTTTTGTTAAGAACTAAGCAAAAATCAATCATAAAAGCACTAAAAATAACTATATAAAATAGAGTTATCAAGAAATCAAAGAAAACGTGATGAAAGAACAAACATACCGAGCTCTAATGGCATCTATCTTCTCAATTAGGACAGCTATTTATGAGGAAAAGGGTATAATAAAAACTAAATCGCTCTCAACAAAAGAACTCTTAGGCTTTATGCTCTCTAATGACCAATGGGGTTACGATCTACTAACAAAGGATATTACATAGTTCCTAAGCGGTTTGGCTTTATCAGTGTAATATTTTGACATAAAAAAACTAAAAAAAAAAAGCAAATAAAAACAAATAAGCAAAAGTAAAACAAAAAGGAGAATAAATATTTACAAATATTTACAAAAAAAAGGTGAACCGAACAACAAACTAGCATGGTTGTTATCAATATTAACCCTAGACTAATTTTTCAATCCTCGACAATGGTGCCAAGTATGTGGATTGCATAAGTAATAGAGATAAGAAGTATCGAGTATCATCTTCATAGGCATTTAATTTATGATTACCTAGAGCTAAGTACTAAAATTGGGCAACTAGATTATATTAAGCTCTAACAACAATTAGGGAAATTACTAAAGTATCCTACATGAATTAAGCTTAAAATATCCAAATTGAACTCTTAGCCTAAACTAAAATACAAAATAAAATGCATGGAAATTTAACATGTCTAATAGAAATGTAATCGCTGCATGATCATACTCAAAATAAATAAGCTCAAACTTAAAATTTATCTAAGTAATGCTCAAAGTTGACAACATGAATAAAAAAAGTGCATGAAAACTATGGAATGACAAAGAAGAAAATATTTCCATGATGAAGACCTACATGGCCAAGAGCCTCTACATGCAAAAGAGTACATATTTAAGGATTAGACAAACAAATCAAGCAACATGTAAGATTATGACATTATAAGAGCATGTGATTTAAAGTGCCAAACATATAGATTGCATTTAAAAGTAAATAATTCAAAGATTAAAGTGCAAAGTAAGAAAATTTGAAAGTAACTATAAAACTTGAACATTTAAACATATGGATTTAACATGAAAATAAGGCAATTTAACAAGCACATTAATTGGGGTAGCAAGCTTAATCAACTAAAATTAAATGTTGAATACAGAAACTAAATGGCAGTAAGTATAATCAGGAAAATAAATCAAATAAATATTTAAAATAATTAGTTCAAGTGACAAGGTGCCTTTTAGGTGATTCCTCTACCTAATGGCAACCTTGCACCATCCTTATCAAGCCCTAATGGCCATAAAAAAAATATAAAGGAAAAATAAATTACAAATTAGAGCTCAAAAACAAGTAAAACTGAATGGAAAAGATTAAATT